TTACTAGGCGCTTCTAGTAATAGTAATTACTATTACTAGGTACTTATAGTAATAGTAATTACTATTACTAGGTGCTTATAGTAATAGTAATTACTTAGTAATTACTAAGTAATTACTATTACTAAAAAGTGGCAACCCTAGTTTAATTTAACTTTAACTTAAATTACTAATAGTCTTTTAACTAGCTAAAAAAAGCCTTTACTAAAGCTTTAATACTCTGCTACTTTAACTTTAAACTACTAATACTTGTAGAAGCTAATGCTTTAGACTATGTAGTAGTAGGAGTTCTTTTCTAGACTAAGCTAGACAGGACTATTAAGCCTATTACATACTTTTTAAAAAGAATAAGTTCTGTAAAAGGCAATTATAAGATCTACAACAAAGAATTACTTACTATAGTATACTGCTTTAAATAATAGCAACCTAAACTAGAAAGTGCAGCGCATCTAATATAGGTCTTATCTAACTATAAGAACTTGCAGTACTTTGTAACTATAAAATAACTTAGCTACTAATAAGCCTATTAGTTTAAATACTTATCTTATTTTAATTTTAAGATTACTTATTATTCTAGTTAAAATACAGGAAAACTAAATACTTTTATAAGGTAATCCTAAGACATCCCTGCTTAAAAAGAAGTGTAAAAGGCTTAACACTAAACTTTGCTTTAACCTAAGCTATTTTTAAACCTTAACCTAAATAAAATAGATTAGACAATTAATTAAATTATTACTAATAAGTATTTAAATAATAAATTTATCTAAGAAACTTTAGACCTGCTTTAAAACAGCGCTAGTTAGTTAAAGAAGGTAACACTAGCTAACTATAAAAACTAAAATAGTAAGCTATATTACTATAACTAACTTATAATTTTTAATTCTAATAAACTAAAAATTAAACTACTCTAAATTGTACATAACTTGCCTGTTAAAGGACACTTAGGCAGAGGAAAGACTCTTAACCTACTATAAAGAGAGTACTACTGGCCCCGCATGTTCTATACTGTACGCTAATACGTATTATGTTGCTATACTTGCTATAAAGTAAAGGCCTTTTAAAAAAGGTATAATAGCCTACTTAAACTACTTCTAATCTCTAAATAAGCTTAGAAAGATATATTAATTAATTTTATTATAAACCTACCCCTATTTAAAGAGTACATAAATATTATAGTAGTTATTAATTACTTAACTAAGTATTAACACTTAATACTATGTTCCTCTATAACTGCCTTTAATATAGCCTAGTTATTTTACTAATATGTATAAGTTTACTATAGCCTGCCTAACATAATTATATTAGACAGAGGTACACAGTTTGTCTTAGCCTTCTAGAACAAACTCTATAAACAGCTCTAAATTGTCCCCTATCTATCTACAGCTTTTTACCTAGAGACTAATAGCTAGACTAAGAACGTAAACACTATAATAGAATAAGTCCTATAAGTGTACATAAACTACTAGCAGGATAACTAGGTAAAATAGTTAGCTATAGCATAGTTTAAAGCTAATAACATAATATCTAAATTAACATAAGTATCCCTATTTTTAGTAAACTATAGATACTACTTTTAAATAAGATTTAAACTACTTATAAATACCCTCTAACTAACTTATTAATTTATATAAGTAATAGATGTAAATAGACTTATTAACAAAATTTAAAACATATTTAAATATGTTTATAAAAAGCTTATATAGGCTTAAGCTTTTTAATAAGAGTACATAAACTAATTTTAAACCTCTGCCCCTATGTATGCAGCTAGCAAGAAGGTCTAGCTAGACGCTAGAAATATCTAAATAAACTAATAATTAAAGAAACTTAATTAGAAGAACCTTAGCCTCTTTATAGTAGCCTATATAGTCTTATTACATGCTTACTAATTAATCCTACCTAACAGCATAAAGATACACCCTGTGTTCTATGTATTGTTGCTGCGCTAAGTAGCTTCTAAATTTAACTATTTACTTAGACAGCTAAACCTACTACTTAAACCTATTATTATAAATAATAAACTAGAATATATTATAGAAGACGTTAAATAGATCTAGTTTAATAAAAAAAAACATATTTATAAATACTTTATAAAATAGACTAGATACAACAAACTATTATAGGAACTTGCAGAAGCCCTATAAAAAAACTCTATAGTAACCTAATTCTACGCCTAATACCTATCTAAACTAAACCTGTACTCTAACAAAGACAACTTAATGCTAGAACTACTAATGTAAAGGATTCCCTTCCTAATAAGAGAGGGGGTACTGTTATAGTATCCTCCCTAGATCCTAGACATAACTGTATTAGACGTGTACTAGAGTATTATTAGTGCACGTCTAACATAAATATAACATAACATAGATATAAACTTAAGCATAAACTGCTTTAACACTAACTAAACCTAAAACAGGCTTAATTTATACTTAAAGTGCTTAGACTTCTAAGCTAAGTATTTAATTACTAATTTCCTTCTAAACCTTCCTGTTCCTTACACAATGTCTTGTACCTACTATAATACCTCACGTAGTAATTAAACTAGACCTCTGTGAAGCTCTATAACCTTACTCGTGCACAATCGTGACAATAAACATACTAAGCTAGTTTATGTAAACATAGCCTTAATTATACTTAGTGTGTAAAGAATTAGCTATATTAGCTATAAATGCTATTTAAAAGAAAATTCTTTATGTATATAGCTTAAGTATAGTTTTAATAATTACCTACTTTTTTTTATTACCTAGCTTTTATAATTTAGCTATAGAATTAGCTTATAAATGTTATTTAGTGCTATAGTTATTTATTATCTTTTATAAGACTTTATATATAGCTATAGTATATTTTTTTAAGAGTTTTATGTCTTATTTAAAAGCTTAGAGTATAAGCTATATCTAACATTCTTTTAGCATATTTAAGTAGTGTTATAAAGAATGCATTAGTGTAAAAAAAGTAGTTTAGTAGGGTCTTAGTAAAAGTAAGCAACTTAGGTGTGTAAGCAACTTGCCTATAAAGTACGTTAAATTATTGTTCTTAGTAAACTATATATAAGCTGTTATAACATAACTTTTTATAAAATGTTAAAATGTAAAAGAAATGTAAATTATAATAGTTACACTTTATAAATAAACTTAAATGTTATGCTTACATTAAAACATACTAATAATCTAAGAAGTTACAACTATTAATTTAGCAAGTTGTAACGTATTACGTACGGTTGGGAACGCTGACCAGGGCCGGAAGTATCGTGGCTATTAAGGAAGTTGGAGCCGTCGTATGAGGACTTTGGCCTGCCTTTAGCGTTCTCGACTTCGTCGGCAGAGTAGTGAGGACGGATGTGGAATTTTTCGGGTCGGGGACCTAGTTCGCCTTTGTAGTAGAGGATGCGGGTGATGATGAAGCCCATGCAGAAGAAGTAGCCTAAGAAGAAGATGGTACCAAGCGAAAGGATGATTTGAGGGGCGTCGAGGAGCGGGAGAGAAAACATGGTTGATATGGTAGGGGGATAACGTAAATTTAGAAGTGCTTTTGGAAAAGAGAAATAATTTGATGGGATTTGGTGGGAACCCTGTAATTAAGGAATACGGCGATGCATGTATCTGAATTAAACAAATTGTGCCAGTTTGCAGCCCTACATTCAAAGCATCTGTCGTGACCAACGAAAAACGAACATATTGAAGCCGCATACGTGAATGAATATCAGAGACGGGGGATTCACAAATCTCCCGGCATAAGGTTCTTAGAAGTCATTTTCCACACAACCCAAAAGATTTTTCCCAGGCTCTTGTGGATTTCGGCGAGGGAGCATATACCGCAAATGTTTGAGGTTAAAGTCTTCCAAAGATATTTTGATACACTGCAGACCAAACTCCGAAACATTGGAGACATTTTCTCTGTCACGTTCCCGAACTCAGGTAGAAATTAGCATTCTCTCAACGATGTCCGCTCACTTGGGTGGTCTGCTTGATTATGAAACACGTTATTTAAATTTTTTTTTAAAAGTAGGTTAATTTATAGAGAAAATTCTAAAAGTCTCTTAGACATCTAATAAGAGAAACACTGGCTACATAGGTTAGAAACTGCTAACACTAAGGCTATACTCTGTTTAGAGTAGCGTCCTTAGTTCTGTCATCACCCCGGCTGAGCTAGCCGAGATAAGTATCAGGCGGGGTTCACAATCCCGCCTTTCCAATTCTGCTCTAGCTCAAATCTCCACTCACCTACTCTTCAAGCCAACCGCGAGACTGCCATCCGCTAACGATTGTGTCCAAAGAGCAAGGCGCATTTGGGCGTGCAACTATTGCTTTAATGGCTCACTGTTCATACAAATGGGACGCCACTAACGTCAGCTTACTGTCGCCTTTTTCGCTCCTCTAACCTTCCTGTCCATCGTCAAGGCTAACTGGGCTTTTATCTCGCCTACAACTCCACTCGGTGAGCCCCAAATGGCATCATTGAGCGATCCTCGCATTCATATTTAGCCTTGTGGCTCGCTGTTTCTTTCAGGCTTCCTTCTCTCCTGTTTCTTATTTTTCGACTTCTTCCATGCTTGTTTTCGATAGCCGCGTCTGTGTGACATTCTCTAAGTATAATCCCCAACGCCTCGTCCATTGCAGACAAAGGCTTGTGCAAAAAGCAACGCCAGCCTCACACCTCGCCTCGAGAGCGTCGCTCTTGTCAGCCTACAGCACCATGGCAGAGCCTTCCCTAAAACGACCCAAGAAACTCATCGCGTGTTGTGATGGTGGGTTCTTAGAAATAATACATACCCATATAGCCTACTAATCACCTCCAAAGGGACATGGATGAACTCAGACAAGGGCTTCGTCAAAGGTTCCCTCTTCTCTGGGCCAGGACATCTCCAAACACCATCCAATGTTACCCGAATAGGCCGCGCTATTCTCCCCGAGGACCGTAACCACCACCCGCAAATCGTGTATTACCAGTCCGGAATTGGCAGCGGCAACACCACTATCGAGCGACTCGTAGGTGGAGGAACAGGCGAAGAATTGGAGAACATATAAGAGAAGCTTACTCATTTCTCGCCAACAATTACACCCACGGCGACTCGATATTCCTGCTCGGTTTTTCTAGAGGTGCATTCACTGCCCGTAGTATCGGAGGCTTAATAGGCGGTGTCGGGCTGCTCACGAAGGACGGGCTCCCTTGGTTCTACCTCATTTTTAAAGATTGGGAAAACGCGGGCGTCCCCGAATACAAGCCCTTAATCCAGGACTTTATTCCGAATTTCTACATCGCCTCACCGCCACACGACATAGTTAACTACCTGAACAGCTACCGTGCCGAACTAATCAAACGGAATTTAACCCGTGAAGTCTCAATCCAAGCCATCGGCGTCTGGGACACGGTTGGTGCCCTTGGCATCCCCACACCCAAGCTCTTCCAGAAAATTGGACTCCCGGATTTCCTGCACGAGTACAAATTCCTCGACACCACTATCGACAACCACGTCAAGTACGCGTTCCACGCTCTCGCGCTAGACGAGCAACGTGCCTCTTACAGCCCCACAATCTGGGAACGTCCTCCCGGTTGCACAACCGTCCTTAAACAAGTCTGGTTCCCCGGCGTACATTCCAATGTCGGGGGTTCATATGACGACACCGGGATCGCCGATATCACGTTAGCATGGATGATGTCGAATCTAGCTCCCTGGATCGATTTCAATGAAATTTATATCCGGGACCAAAGCATGTTCAACCAATTCAATCTTGCAACAAAGAAGCATGAGCGGAGAGGATGGGCATTGGGGAAGATATACGATAGTTGCAAATTTCCCACAAATTTATCGGGCAGGGAACCTCGGACGCCCGCTATGTATCACCAAATCGATTATTTTACGAATCAAGAGACAGAGCAGCCGTTGCGGGATACAAATGAGACAGTACACGCATCTGTCCATGCACGGATTCTAATGAATGGGACGTCGTATGAAGATGAAGGTCCCTATTTGCCAGAGGCGCTACAGGACTGGGATCTGGATAATGGGCAGCGGCATAGCAATCCTGATGGAAGTGAGCGACGGCAAACAAAACAAGTGAAATGGGTATACACAGGAAGTGATCCGAGATTTCAGGGAAAGATTATGCTTGAGGACCGGCTGGGCGATTTCGAACTCGATCTGCTACAGATGGATCCTGTTGCCTCGTCAGAGGTACTAGGTAGCTAAAATTTTACAGTCAGTGGACAGCGTTTGACACAGCCCTCGATAGAGCGCACTAGAGGATGCACCGGGCTTTGAAGTGAAAGTACGAGGCCTGAATGACTTTGCTTGATATTACAGAACACCTCCGATACCAAAATAGTTGCCGGAGGTGCCTATTAAGAAATGCTATTGAAATTACAATCAACGAATCTCAAACATAGTCGCTGGGGCAACGTTTTCATTCTGATAACGCATGGCCTCTCCATTCATCATGCCACTAATATAGCATTCACCTAAAATTGCATAAGAATAGTATCTATCTTGATCTTACAAGCCTTTCTAATCCTTCCTAACCTATCGTGTACAGATCTGTAAAAAAATTTTGGTATTTTCATTGTATTCGAGACCCTCTCTCTCGGTCACCTTAATTAATGACTTTATCTTTGCCGTCCTCCATCGGCGTATCTCAGTAGTAGCTTCGCTGCTCTTCTATGTTCCAGATGTGTAGTTAGCTCGTCCTGATAGCATGTTAGTTTTTTTGTTGGGCTGACCTCCCCTGGTGTATGCTTACCATCAATGTTACAAAGAGCGTTTGCTTCTCACTCACGAAAGCGCCCGCCGGCACTCCCAGTGCTAGAAGGAGTGACTTTTCTCTCAAATCGAGGATTCACAATACCATCTGGTGCATCTGGGGGTTCAATATGTACGTCGTCAGACTGTCACTATTTCTCCTTCTTGGCTTTCTCCGCTTTCTTCTTTCGTTCCGTGTCTGGTCTTCTAGAGCTGCTTCAATATATGCGTAATGTAGTCAAGGTCCTGTTGCTTTCCATTCCCACTTCCCCCCCTTACTGGCTCTTCTCTTCCATCTTTCGTTCCACCTCCCCCTTCTCGCTGCTTTGACGACCTTTTAATGACGTCTTGTTTGAAGCACAAATTCGTATTCTAGCCAGTACACTTGTTTTATAAGGTTGTTATCCTTCTCAATTCCGTCTTCGCCCGGCTCCAATATGTTCTTAGATCCACCCTGTGTACCTCTATCACCATACCACTTTTTGTCATTATCATTGTATCACCTCTTTTCTCTGCCATCATATCATTCCTAAAAGCCGTACGTGCACTTGCATACACTTTTTCCGATTCGTGTTCCCTACTTCTCCTGTGAGGCCATTTTCCCTTTCTATTATGTTTGACGGCCTACTTTAGGACTAGGAGTACCTAGATAGATACCAGGGATACTCCAATGATGAGGTGTGTTCTACATGTGAAGAGGTGTCATGGATATCACTTGGCAAAACTTCCAGGCCTTAAGATCGGCAATAGACGTCCACAGTTCTGTTCCGCACCGCACCAAGCCCGAACAAGATCTACTAGACTTCTCTTAGAGGGACCTAACTGTGCATTTAGGATATATTCACGCTATCGACAACATCATCCATATCATCTAATAGCAACATTTCTACGAATATGGACCGTACACGGCGCAAATCACCAACTCCAAGCTTATCACTCCACTGTTGGTCATATAGACATCTATATACAGCTGTGAAAGATGTTAATATTCACTGGAAGTTTAATACAGGCGAGACAAAGGATGAGAAGGGCGATGTTTAAGATGCTGTCAGAAAGGAAGGTGCGATCTAGAGGTATATAAGTAATGTACTAGTAATTAGTAGGCTATAGTATGGCTAAATATGTCTTAGTACTAATAGTATTTAGATAGTAATTAAAAGTTTACTAATACTTTAGTTTTACATTTATTATTTAATAGTAAAGCTTACTTATTTTTAATTAAACACTTAATTTTATAAATAAAAGTTAAAAAGAACTTATTTATTTTTTATATTAAAATAAAAAGCATTTGCTAAGATAAAAGTAATAGTAGAGAAATAAATATCTTTTAGACCTATTCTAGACTTTTTAATAGATAGGCAGATTAATAATTTAAGTGTCTTTAGACTATAGGTAATAGAAGAGCAGTATAATTTTAGTAGCCTTAGTAAACTCTTAATGTAGTTAATTATTAGGCTGTATAACTGCTAAATATAGTCCTTTTTCTATAGTGTGTTATATTGTCTAATATCTAACTCTACTTCTTTGTTACACATAGGCTAGTTTAATTGCATAAGCAAGGGCAGTAAAAGTTTATAAGTAGTAGAATACTTATTAAGCTATATAATTTAATTCTTTTTTATATCTAGTTAGAGTTTAAAATAATATAACTATTTAATACTAATAATATAATTCTATAAGCTAAGGTTTATAATTATAAAGAGGTAGTTTTAGATGCTTCTACTATTAATTTACATGTGCAAGCAGATATACTAGTAAATAGAGACTTAGATTTAGTCTTAAAAACCCTTAACTATAACTTTAAAAAGTAAATGTTAAATAAAAACATAAAAGCATTAGAATAAAAACTTAGCAGTTATTAAGTTAATAAATAAAAAACTATGTGCACTAGTATTAACTAAAAAATTTAATTAAACTCTAATGCTTTTTAAGTATAAAATAGTAAAGACTTAAAAATGTTTTCTTTTAAATAAGTGTAATAAGTTAATATTTACTAAGTTATACTTATTTAAGCTTAAAATAAAAAGTTTTTTTAAGCATTTTTATTTTCTATTTAAAAAGAATCTATGTTATAATTATTTATATTTATAAACTTTTTTTTTAGATTTTTATTACTTTACTTTAATTTCTTATACTCTAGAGATAAGATAATTACTAGTAAAATGTTTTAGTTTACTATAATTATAATAGTTACTAGAAGTTGTTTGTCTTTTAGAGGCAAGTGTCTAGCTAGGTTAATAGTAGGTAGCTAGGGTGGATTAGGGTACTAACATAGGTGCAGGTTAGGGTGCACTAGAATAGTATACTGCCTTAGATATATTACTAGAAACTTTTTAAGATTAATCTATAATAAGTCTAATATTAGAATGTTAGGTGTAGTTAATAGTTTACTTTAAAATAGTAAAAGTGTTTGTTCTTTTTATATTATAAGCTATTAGGTAAGCTACTATTATCTTAAAAAAGCTCTTTTAAGTATGTTTAAAACCTAAGTTTAGTACTTTTAGGCTAGGTAGTATCTTTTTTTATAAGTAAAAAAAACTATTTTAACTTTAATATAAACCTTTTAATAGCAGCACTAATAAAGTAAGCTTTAAAAGTAAAAAAAAAAAAATTTTACTTATTTTTAAAGTTTAAAACACTTATTACGCCTTTATTTTTTATTACTAGTAATAAAGTAAGTTTATAAGAGCTTAATTATTTTTTTTATATTTCTAAACTAAAAGTTATTTAATTTAGCTAGGTATCTAGGCTCTAGGTATTCCTTTGTAATACTAGCAGTGTGTCCCTATACTAACACTATGTGTGCACGCTTACTCTAATAGTAATTTAAATTAATGTTAAGTCTATTTATAATAGAAGCTTACTATTATTTAAATATAGGTTCTTTACTATCTGTAAAGTTCTTAATTTTAAGCATACATTTAGTAAGGTAGCTTTAAGAGAGCTTAAAGGTGCCTAAAAAGTCTCTTACTATTAATATAGTAAAAGTAATTTAAGGTATTATTAAGAGTAATTTAGTAGTTAGTAAGAGTTAATTAGAACTAACATGGTCCACAAGCGAATGTTCAACACAAGCGAGTGTTCCGCCCTACTACTAAAACGCAGCTAACCTACTACTAACTGCAATGCATTAACAACTATACAATTAATTATCTTTAAAAGAGGCTAGAATTAACCTAGCTATTTAAGCTCTTAATAAAGACGTGTCTTTAACTAAGAGGCGCACTGCAGCACTTTATAATGTTAATTAAATAGCTCTCTGCTAATAACGCGCAGGGATAACTATGCAACGCGACTATACAGCTAACAACAAGAAGCTTACAAAGCTAGAAGAGAAGGTAATTATTAAGCATATACTTAATCTAGATTCCTAAGGATTTGCGCCTACTTTAGGTGCTGTACAAGAGATAGCTAACAAGCTTCTTACTAAGCGCAGCGCTCTACTAGCAGGTATTAACTGGCTATCTAACTTTGTTGTGTGTACGCTAGCAGTTAAAATCTACCTTAGCTAACTATATAATTACTAATAAGTAAAATATAAAGATCTAGTAATTATAAGTAAGTAGTTTAAGCTTATAGAGGCTATATAATTAAAGTATAGAATTATAAATTAGGATATGTATAATTTTAATAAGACAGGCTTTTAGATAGAGGTTATATTAAGCTAAATAGTTGTTACAGGCATAGATAGACGTAATTAGCTAAAGGCTATATAGCTAGGTAACTATAAATAGGTGACAGTTATTGCAGGCATTAACGCAGATAAGTAGGCAATACCTTTATATATAATCTTTAAAGGCAAGCATTACCTATCTGCCTAGTATAAGGATAAAAATATACTAAAAAACTAGGCTATTAGTGTTAGTAATAACAGCTAGATAACTAATAAACATAAAATTACATAGCTAGAGCACTTTAATCTACACATAAAAAATTACTTAGTAGGCTTATAGTAGCTACTTATTTTTAATAGCTATAAGAGCTATTACTCTGTTAAATTCCTAAAGCTCTGTAAGCAAAGGCGTATTATAGCGCTCTGTATGCCAGCACACGCGTTACATATTCTACAGCTGCTTAACGTTAGCTGCTTTTTGCTGTTAAAGTGCGCGTATAGTACTAAGATTAGCTAGTTAATCTGCTACTAAATTAACTATATTAATAAGCTAACCTTTCTACTAGCCTTTAAGGCAGTATTTAGTTGCTTAATTATAATAGATAATATCTGCGCAGGCTTTAGAGCTATAGGACTAGTTCTATTTAACCTAAAGCTAGTGCTCTTAAAGCTTAATATACAGCTACCTAATTAGCTAGCTACTCTACTACTAAATACTGCCTAAGAAGAGGCTTAAACACCTAGTAATTTTTATAAAGTTAAGGCTTAGTTAACTTTACTATATAATTAGATTTAAAAGCATTAGAATTTATTTTCTTTTACTATGCTTAATCTAGTAAAGCAGCTAAGTAAGGGCGCTACTAAGATAGCTTATATTGCTATTTTATAGCGCAATTAAGCAGCTACTCTAGAGAGGGCCTATAAGGCAGCTACAAAGCGTAAGCAGCGTAAAAAAAAGTAAATTTAAAAAAAAAAAACTCTAATAAGTTATTAAAGCTTTAAGTTAAGTACTTAGAAGCTTGCTAGTATAGTAGAAGGTAGCAAAATGCCTTAGGAGAAGTTAACTACTAAAAGCAGCGCAGCGCGCGCACAGCGCTGCAAGGGCTGCAACAAGCCTAGGCATAACTCTTATACATGCAAGGATATTAAATAATCTTATAGTAGTTTATTTTATATAGTATATTTTTGCGTTGTTAAATTAATAGTCTTTAAAGTTAAATTTAGTAGTAGGGCGGAACACTTGCTTGTGTTGAACATTCGCTTGTGGACCATGTTAATAGTTTTTAATCTAGTTAGCTACTTAATTTATGCTTTTAATTAAGTAACTTAGTTTTTAAAAGCTATGCTACTAAAGTTTAACTTTAAATTTAGTAAGTTTTTAGCTTTAGGTTCTATAAAAAAAGGTTTAGCTGTTAAAGTTAGTAGTTATTTAGCTTTTAGGTTTTTACTTTAGCACACTTTTTATAACTTTTCTAAAGGTAATTTTAATTATAAGAGATAAAAAGTTCTAAACTTAAAAGCTTTAGTTAATAAAAAGTCTCTAAAATTTTATTTATAATAACTAAATAATTTAATATAATAGTGTGTAAAAACTATAACTTAAACTAAATTAGACACTTCTTAGAGTTAAACATAATTAAATAAATAATTAATATAATATTATTAATAAGGCTATTACTAGCAAAAGTAAGTTTTCTAATATAATGTAACAGCGCAGGCAAGACAATAGGTCTAAATGCAGAGGGAATCTACTTAGAGGCATATAGAAGTGCGTAGGGACTCTAAACCTAGGAATGCCATAGACACCTATAGGCCTTATATAAAAAGATATTAGAAAACTACTAAGCTAGCTACAGAGGTAAAGTGCAACTAAATACATAAAGGAATAGGGGTAACTGCAGAGGACTAGGTCAAGTTATAGTTAGGGCTAATACAGAGACTCTTTGGATAGGATCTAAGCAACCCGAGATGGAACGATTTGTAGAATCGTTACAACTAATACTTAACTTTTAACTACTATTAGATCTTATTATAAAGACTATAACTTATTCTAGCTATAACTAAGGTAAAATGCCTACTTTTAAAACTAAATAACTACTTACTTTAATAGCTACACTTTTTTTTATAGAACTTAAAGCTAAAGACTTACTAGATTTAAAGTTAAACTATAGCAACATAGCTCTTAAAAACTAAGTTACTTAATTAAAAGTATAAATTAAATAGCTAACTAGATTAAAAACTATTAGTTTTAATCAACCTCTACTAACTACTAAATTACTTATAATAATGCTTTAAATTACTTTTACTACTTTAATAGTAAAAGACTTTTTAAGCACTTTTAAGCCTTTTTAAAGCTACTTTACTAAATGCACACCTAAGATTAAAAACTTTATAAATAGTAAAAAACTTATATTTAAATAATAGTAAG